ATGGGACCGAGGAGGAGGACGAGGAGGAGGATGAAGGCAGCTCTGAGGCACGCTGGAAATTCCATGTACCAGCTAAAATCGTGTGACAGAGCTGTTGAATCAAAGCTGCTGTGTGCATTAGGGAGCAGCTCGTTTGTTTGGGTGGAAATATTTGCTTCTTGTCTAATGTGAATTGTCTTTGTAGGGAGATCTTTACCGTCCAGATTGAGCTGAGGAAGACATAAGCTTCTCAAAGTTATTTTAACCTGTCTGCTAAAGAAAAAACACCCTAGATTAATTTAGATTTTGAATTCAAGTTTTCTCCTTCAAGCTCGTGTTCAGTAGAACCATTTCAAAATAAAATCACGGATTTTGGAATCAATGACTTTTCATCCAGTTGTGTCAGACATTCTCAGGAGAGAAGAAATCTGTATATTTCCTATGCTTATGCAAGTACTTCTTACTTCATTAGCTGTTAATAAAAATGGTATTGTTTTGCTATCTTGGCTTCATCCATACAACTGTTCAGAGATTTTAGGTAGAACTTGAATCTCCTCAAGTCACAGAAAGCACCTTCACACCTTGTGAGTGTTAACAAGTATGAGGGCCTGCAGAAAGAGCAGTTTTGGTAAAAGAACACCAAAAGGTGCTTTTTCTTTAAAAATCAGTGCATGGTATCTTACTAATGCTGGCATTGTGCACGGATTCTGTGCAGAACAGATGTAAATAAAAAGTTAAGGAGTGAAATTAAAAAAAAAAAGCAACAGCATGTTTCAAAGAATTGTACAAAAATAAACCAGGGAAATTCACAAGTTCTAGAAGCCACAGGTGGGAGAAATGATTCTCCATGTAAATGGTTTTTATCTAGTGCCAGGGCTTGTGTGGGTGCTGTGTAGATTACACTGGTGCTGCCTAACTGCTGTAACATCTGTAGGATTTCTGCAGCAAGACTAGAGATGATTGGTGAGTATTTTGGCAGGAGGTTCCTCTCCCACGTTTCCAGTCTCACTGCTTGTTTTGACACTGGCTGTGTGACAGACTTGGAGAGGGGAGGAATTCACTGCTGAGGAGATGGGGCTCCCTGCAGCTGCAGCTCTACTCCAGGACTATTCATGGCAAAGTTAAACAAAGGATTAGCAGGATACCTGGTAGGATGAGACCACTCACATTCAAATTTTTGTAGGGACTTTTCCTTATCATAAGGCAGACGTGGGAGCAGATCTAAAGAACTTCCATGTGGATTTTGTCACTAATTAAAGCAGAAATCAAGGACCAGTTTTATAAAGGTGTATAAACACAGGGGGAAGAAATTGCTGAAGTCCATTCCTATGTTAGAATCTGTTAGTATTGCTGTACTATTCTTATAAATTGGGAAAGGAAGAAGGTGTGCAACAGCCAATTATTGGTGAGCAAGCACAAGCCATGAGCCATCCCTCAGAAAAGAAATGACATGTAAAAGACAGAACCTACTCTATTTATCCCTACTGTGAATATTATCATGCATACAGGCCCCAAGCTGTGCACCTGGGGTGCCTTATTTAACTTCCTGTACTTTCACTTCATGTTTTTTATCTTTAATGTGCTGTTAAAATAAACGACTAAGATGCCAGTTTTCTCAAAGAGAACAGAAAAAAATACATTTAAGATAGGTCGAGATTAATATTTAACCAAGCAGATGAATTAAACAATAGGAAAAGTAGCACGGCTTGGTTGGCATCATCAAAGCAGCTAACTGTAAAATAAATGGAAATCATAGCAATAAAATCAGTAAGTTAAAAAACACCTGCAGAAAGGCATGAGAACCTGAATCATGCTGATTTAGAGAAAGGTTTCAGTCACAGCTCAGGACCACCACAGGCAGTGCTGCCCCAGGTGCTTATCTAAAGACAGGTAGAGCCAAGGTACATCACCTGAGAGCTGTCCAGGGCTCTGCACACTTACCAGTTTACAAAGTTTATGGTGAAATGCAGCGGCCAGAACTCTGCACAGAAGGTATTTGCACGTCCTTCATGGTTCTGAGAGGGTGTGTGAGCACAGGCCCGTGCTGAGAGTCTGTGACCCAGCTCAGTGCAGTGCATCCCAGTCAGAACTGGGAGATGGGAACGGGAGAAGAGCTAAGGCCTCCTACCCCAGGAAAACGAAATGGAACAACCAGCAAAGATCCCCAACAGAAAACAAATAACTAACTAAATAACAAATAACTAAATAAACGAATACCTAAAATTTTAAAAACAACACCAAAGCATAAAATGGCCAGAAGGCTTCAGGGAACAGTGAGGACAGAAGACACACAGGTGACCTCCTGATATTCCCCCACAACCTCCAGCTAATTTCAGAGCAGGTCTGTTCTACTTTGCCAGTCTGATAACCTCCAGTGACCCCTGCTTGCAGGTAACTTTCCACTCTGGAACCCAGGTGAGTCTGTTCCCTTTGGAGTGCCCCTCAGCAGAACCTCACTGAGCTTCCACGGATTGCACAGAGAGTCACAAAATTCCTGCTCATTCTGAAACCTGGCCCCATGGAAACCATCTGATGTGTCCTACATGCAGCAGAAAAGGCAGACTATCACAGAATTATAGAATTGATAGGGCTGGAAGGGACCGCTCAGAGCATTTTTACCCACACCACTGTGTTCACCACTGTGTTCCCCTCTGCTGCTCCTCTTCCCTGGCATCCAGCTTCCTGCAGAGTGTCCTCACCAACTCTCCAGCCCTCTCCTCTCTAAACTCCACGTGCACAGAAGTCATTCTATACCTCACCTCATCCTTGACTGCAAACCCCCAACCTTTTCCAGCTCTCACTCCCTCACCTCAACCAGGATTGTGCACACCCTTCAACATTTGTGCAAATTCTGCAGTTGTACCGTGGCACCACAATAATCTTCCCCGTTCCTTTCTGTACAATTCCTGATGTTTTGTTTCCAGGAGATGACCTGTTCTCATCCTCAGTCCTGAGCCAGTCCTTGCAGGTGCAGAGCTCAGACTGTTTTGCCTCGTGTGCATCACTTGGTATTAATCAACACTGGGTTTCATCTGCCAGTCTACTCATGCTCCACGTAGGAGTATTGTAAATGACACACATGGCTGTGTCTGCAGCAGGGAAGCCAAGGAATGACTGAACAGAAAACAAAAATCCCCATCAGTGTCATCCACTGCCCAGAACTGATTCACTGACTGGTCACGTCCATCCTACAAAGCAAACGACACCAGAAACCACTGAGAAAAAAGAAAGGCATGACTTAAAAATCTCACAGTCATGACAGCACAGACATGGGAAATAAAAAAAGATTTGGTTTAGCCAAATTTGAACTTCCTGACTCTGCAAGTTTAGTACTACCTCTACCATGAATAACTGCAGCAAGTTATGAAACAGGTGATTCCATGGTGTGAGGTCTGCTTTGTAGCCTCGGGTTTTCCACCACGACGGGTGGACACTGCATTACTCTAATTTACTCTACGCCTGGGACTCCAAACCACACATTTTCTGTCAAATCTGCTGCACAGCCTTCTGGTTTTTACATCACTTGGGAGAATGACCTTTAATGAAGAGCTCGCTTAAACAGCAACACGAAAAAGAATTTATAAATGTTAGGAATGTTGTTTTTCCCTTTCAACATTCCCAAGTTTGGATGCTCCTTCTAATGACTGCATAATTGGAGAATGTATTTTCTCTCACACCTTAGCATTTTGAATATTGAAAAGCAGTGATTTTAACAATACAAAAGCATTATTTTTTAATTGATTTAGCTCCTAGTGGGAAAACCCAGTATTTTTCATCCTTACTTTGCTTTCTAAACCATCTGTAAATGCACTGGGTTAATCCATAAAGCAAACTGTGTCAGTGATTTCATGCAGAACCCGATTCTAAAGGCAGAGAATATTCATAATTCCAATAAGAATTGCTAAATAGAAGTTTGAGCAGGAATTTCTCCATGGAAAAGGGTGGTCAGGGATTGGAAGTGCCCATCCCTGGAGGTGCCCAAGGAACTCCTGGAGGTGGCACTGAGTGCTCTGGGCTGGGGACAAGGTGGGGATCAATCACAGGCAGGACCTGATGATCTGGGAGGGATTTTCCAGCCTAAATGATTCTCTGATAAAGTTTCCATCTCTGAACATCACTGTCTTGTAATCTAAAGATCCTGGGAAGTACACAAGACTAAGAGGAGCAGTGATCCATGCTCATGCAGAAATTATTCTCTCCTGATGTCTTCTCACCCACCAGTCCACGACCAGAGCTCTGGACACAAAATCCACTGAGATCCATGAGGACAATCTACTGTCCTACAGATTTTCACAGGTGATTTTGAGACTGGGGTTTTCAAAGCAGTTTCTTGACATTCTAGTGGGAAGGAGGCAAGTATGAATTTACAGCTGGACTGTGCTTTGTCACACATAATCAAAATAAACTATGGATTTGAGCATGTCAAGCCAAAGGGAAATTGATTTTGTAGACTTTAAAAAAACTGTTGTTTATTTGCAACATGACCTATGAGAGGACCCTGTTAGTGGAAGATATCAATATGTCAATGGGTACACAGCAAGATAAGCAGCACATTCAAAACTTAAATCAAGTATTTTATGTTGCACTAAGTGCCTTCAGTCAGTGTGGCTTTCCAAGGAATATACAGTATACACTGGCACTAAGTAAAACTGCATATTACCTTTGGGCATAGAAAATCCCATTTTAAAAAAATAAAATCTTTGACTGTGAGTGAATTAAAAAAAAAAAAATCCAAACCAGCAAGACATTATCTGGATACTCAGCAGATCATATACATGACAAATATTAACCTTCCAATAATAGCCTACATTAGAAATATTAAGAAATCAACCAATAGGGTTGGAAAAGGGCCTTAAAAATAACCAGTTCCTTAAAAAAAAATCACTTTCCACTAGACCAGTTTGCTCCAAGGCCCACCTGACCCGAGCATTTGCTCATGAGAACACAGAGGAGTGTTCTTGAGGAATGCTCACCCCTGGGGACCCTGTGTGCCACCTGTGTGTGCCCAGCACTCCCCTCACCTGGCGGGCTCCCGTGCCCAGCTGCAGCTGTGGCAATGGCAAAAGCAGAGGCAGGAGACACCGAGCAGTGGCTGTTGTCAGCAGTCTGCACTGTAAAGGGGAAAGACAGGGAAAAATTAATTTCTGCGAGCTTTTCATCAGCTAACAGCATGATTTAGAATCTTCAGTAACAAATCTTCGTGTCTGTAGCTTTGTGGGCATTGTGTTTATTAGCACTGTCAGATGATTTTCTGTGAAAGACTACAGAAGTATCACAATCATATTTATGGATTGTATTTCCACATTGGCATAATTCATGTTGCTGTAGAAAAAACATCTAAGACATGCCAAGGTGAGGAATAAGGTATTAACCAAATAGAACGGGGAGAGAAAAAAAAAAAAAAAGAGAGAGAGACACAGAAAAACAATGGCATAGAAAATTAACCTAAACAAAAAATTATGTCAGAGAATTAAGCATCACTGGATTCATATGTTTTCCCAGGTCACTGCCCAGGGTGAGCAGAGTTTTGCAGATTTTATCAAACTTTCTCTACAGGTAGTGCTGTGAACATTGTCTGTAACTAGGACTCAGATAATTTGACACTGCCCACAGTTTCCAGCTCCCAAGTCTTGCCTTCTTGTCACAAATGTGCCCAATCACAGAAAATTACAATTGGTTTAAATCTAAAGTGTCCTGGTAACTTATTACCCAGGTGAGAAGACTCTGTCTGCCTTTGTTTTAGTCCCAGGTATGAAACACGTGCCCAGAAACCTGGCCTGCAGGAGCTGGCAGCATTTTAAGTCTTCATGGACACAGCTCACAGCCCTGCTAATGATTTCAAAGAGCCATGTGAGAGCTATTTGAGGAGCTCCAGCTCTCAATTTTCCTCTTCAATTGAGCAGCTTTTTCAAATTTTGGAATGAATAATGTGAGACCATCTGTAAATGTTCAGTGTTACACAAAGAAACAGACACAGTCACTCCCCATTGACAACAATGGGTGTTGTGTGTTTCGTGATTGCAGATGGTGCCCAAAATATGTCCCCTCATCAGCTGAAAAAAAATATGCCAGAGTCTTGAGAGTTCTGTGAGAACAGGACTGATTCAATATTAGTCTTGAACTTGGGCACATCCTGCTTGAGCTATTTCAGAGCACTGAATCATGCTGAAGCCTCAGCGTGCTTCCACGCCTCATTACTGCTGCTCAAATTTAACAGGCGCGCTTCACATTTTAACGGCTTCTTTCTCCTTCTGAACACCTGAGAAACAAAAAATACCAGCAACCCAGGTGCTTCAGACATGATGGCTGTCCTGCACAGGTCAGAGGTGATGCAGCTCTGTTTGGGGTGCCTGGCAGAGGCAGGAGGGGTCAGCTCTCACCTCCCGGCTGGCGGTAGCGGAGGTGGCGCGGGGTCGAAGGGGACCTGCACGGGGACAGCTCTGCAGTGTCCACCACCGAGGTGCTCTCAGGGATGGTCCTGTCCACTGACACAGACTCCAGAACTGCTGCTTTAAAAGAGAATGAATGTCAGTACTGATGGCCATGCATCGTTTTGTTCCTACAGTTGTTTCTAACAGTGCCGCTGCTGTAACTTGCCGTGAGATTTTGGCATTAACTCAGCAATAATTACCCCCTGGATGGAGTTAAAGGAGTGGGAAATCTACCAAAGACACAAAAGCTCATAAATAAAGAACCTGGTAAAAACCAGCAAGTAGTCAGTTTTAAAGTATGTTGGAGAAAACTGCACTTTCAATCAGGAGAATACGCAGCGACATGCACAAATAATAAGGGTACTTGAACTCATAGGTGTTCTGTGACCTAGGGAAAATAATCCCTGTAGAATAACAAAGTCTAATCAAAATCTGTCCAATAAAATTGCCAAACAGCGTTGGAGAGCAGACTAGTCCATGGTGGAGTTATTTTATCAGAATAATTTTAAAATGGAATGGGATAAACACTACTTCCAAAATGAGGGAAAACAAGCTGATAAAATACATCCTGCATTTGATGTGAATGACAGCTCTGCCTGCAGCACAGGCATTGTTTATATAAAGTTGAATATAAACAAAATCTTTGGAAAACAAAAACTCTGAAAGCAAACAACTTTGAACATAGGCAAAGAAGGTGAAAATCCCAGCCTGTAAATGGACAAGAGTCATAGAGAACAGCAATCACCATAATAATATGTCCTGGGAAACAGAATTTGTGCAGTTGTATTGGACTTAAGAGTAAGCTAGAGCTGGTTTTTTGGAATTCTGGCAGTATCAGTGCAACAGGACTACCCATTTCCATCCCCCTTATGGTATTTCTTTTAAAACTTCCTCATCTTCCTCGACATGCTGCACGCAGCTGGGCAACAAAAGGAGTGCACACTGCAGGACAGAGCTCTCTACGTGCAAATTCCTCCAGACAGAGTGCAAGCTGTTCAGCAGGAGATCCCCAAAGGGGTGGGAGACTGCACTGACAGCAATTCAGCATTTTTATGGGCTTCTGGCCATTTCCAAATGTTCCTCATGCTGTCCAGGTAACGCTTCCAGCTTTGACAGACCACAATGAGAAATGTGAATAACTCTCCAACAGTGGCCACTGCCTACACTTGGGCAGAACAGCCTGCTTTTACCAGGTCACTTTACAATGTCTAGAAAAAATGCTACAGGTAAGGCAGCAGTTACCTGTCTGCCATTAATTTTAATGTCTATTAAAATGCATATTTATATTTTGGGATATGCTGTGCTATCATCACACTGGTTTGAATGTGGCTAAAGAAGAATTAGCTCAAGTTTGCACAGAAAAATCTCTATTATATATATATCTATATAAATAGTCTGTTATGCAATTAATGTAAAAACATCCAGCATACTGGATATATAATATCCATGGTTATGCACAACAGCTACCCAGTATTTTTTGAAAGAGTAAAGCATGAGCAAAGATCACAGAAACATGGAATACGCTAAACTGGAAGGGACCCACAGGATCATCAGTCCCAGCCCTGTTCCTGCACAGACACCCCAAAATCCCACCCTGGGCAGCCCTGGCAGTGCTGCCCAAACGCTGCTGGAGCTCTGTGCCCATTCCCTGGGGAGCCTGGGCAGTGCCCAGCACCCTCTGGGGGACGAATCTTTTCCTAAAATCCAGCCTAAACCCTGCCCTGACACAACCTCAGGCCATTCCCTGAGTCCTGCCCCATCCCTGGGAGCAGAGATGGGAGCTGTCCCTTGGGATGAAGCTGCAGCCCCACTGAGCTCTGCCCTCAGGCTCCTCTGCTCCAACTGCACACACCAAGTGCCAACCAGCTGCTCCAGTCCCTTTACCTCCCCCGTGTCTCTCTTTCAGACACCCTCTAACAGTTTCAGCTCTTTCTGATATGATGGTGCCCAAAACTGTCCCCGAGACTCGAGGTGAGGCTGGGCCAGGTACCCCCCAGGACAGGGATGTCCCTCCTGGCCACTGCTGACTCAGATCAAACTGGACATGGACCAGGACCCCCAGGTCCCATCCACAGCTGCTCTCCAGCCCCTTGTTCCCCGTCCATCCACAGAGCCAGGAATGCCCACCCCAGGTGCAGAAGCCCTCGTTAAACCCCACACAGCTGGTGATTTCCCACCCCTCATTTGCTCCCTGCCCTCGAGGGAGTTGACAGCTCCTCCCAATTTAGGGTCATCAGAAAACTCACTCAGTACTCCTTCGAGTCCAGTGCCCAGGCTGCTAATGAGGATGCTGAAGAGCACAGGGCTGAGGACAGAGCCCTGGAACTGCAGCAGTGACCAGGGCCAGCCCAGTCACTGCCACCCTCTGTGCCCACCCCATAAACCCATTGCCCATGATGTTTTTATCCACCTGTGGGCTGGACAGTGTGTTCAGATGAATCCTGGGAGAGACTGCCTCAAAAGCTTTGATGAAGTCCAAAAAGATCACATTACTGCTTCTCCTGGGTCACCCAGGTGTGTCACCCTGTCATAGTAGGAGCTCAGGTGTGACCAGCAGGACCTTCCCCTGTGAAGCTGTGCTGACCTATTGTTGCCAGATGAATACCTGTTTGCTCAGCTGGTAGGGAAAAGACAATGATTATTTTGTAAAATCACTGTCCCGTGGAACTGCATAATGGGCACCACGTTAAATATCAACCAAGAAGAGGAGCAGGAGAATGCACTTTCATCTCCAAAATAATGAACTACATTGGTTGTGCCAACTCAGCTCCAGATTTGGGAAAGTAACACTGAGCTCATGGGGCAGTCAAGGGTCACTTTAGGGCTGACAGCCACAAGAGACCACTGCACAGACAAACTCGTGTGAGGAGAGAAGGTACATATGTGGGTGACTTTGGGGGAATGATTACCATATGGATGTTCGTTCTGGGAAAACCTGTGAGCATGGATGTAAAACACAGCCTGGGAGCAGGAGCCTTTCCTCTGGTCAGCATGCACAGTATTTCAGAGGAGACAGCTCCTCGTGGCTCCAGCT